CAATGTGGTTTCGGAGGGAAACTTCTAGATAAATACAGGTATATAAATATTTCCAAATAAGCCAGCGGAGAACTGAGAAATCAAACTGGGGATAAAAGCCATAACAAACGTCTAATGATCACCAAAGAACTCATTTCCTCTACGATACTTCCTCGAAGTCCGTGCTCTCGGCGCCAGGCGATAAAGTCAAGGTGCACAATATTCAACCTTTCATCCCACGTGGAATACGATTCCAGCTCCGGAAGCCAGCGGGCGTACTCGATCAAATGGGATCCTACCGCATCTCTCGCTGTTCCCAACCACAATGCGTGCAACAAGTCTGCACATTCACACGAAGGATGCCAGCCCAGCATGTTGTGTAGCCTTATACTTGCAGTTGTAGCAAGCCATGGACAAAATGAACTCGGTACATATTGTAAAAACAATAAGCAAGCTCAGAACCATATAAGGATCCGGAGAGTTACTGTGATTTTTAAACTTGTTCTAAACATTGGCCGAAGTTGGGAATAGCCTGACTACCCCTAATAACCCCAAACCCTAAGCACGTATAAGAACCTAGCAAGGCTACATATTATAGATGGCAAGCAGCGAGATTCCCGGGCCCACGCCTACATCACGAGCAAACTAAAAGAAAAACCCAACCAGACCATGTAGCCCCTCGCAGGCCTGGAACCTTAAATTAATCTAAAACATCAGACAGCCCCAAGCCCTATAATGAATGGGAAACCAGTTCGGAAGTTTGTACTCCAAATGTTAGAAGAAGAAGAACATCTTCAATATGTGCAGTCCAGCATCTGGTTTTCTCGAATCTGCCCATGGAAGATTTTCTTGTCCCGCAAAGCAGCGGGGGCATATTCGGCCCTGACCTTTGGCTGAAGAACTTGGACCTGCTGCGTTGCTCCACGAACGGGTATGCTCTAGCCACTCTTTTCTGTACTTCCAGTCGCCCTTCGACAGGACGACGTGTAATGAAAACCCATCATTACCCTCGGCATCAGGATCGCTCGCAACATTCATGGAATCAACGAATGATTTCTGTAGTCCACGCAGGGTGGCATTTTTGCCACCGACATATGCGAACTGGTTGCTCTTCAAAACCTGAGCGGCTTAGAAATTGATACTGGCAAGCCATATATTGTAAACCAACAATGTAAAGAATTAGACTGGCCCTGAACACATTCCGTCGCGGAGGCCGCGTAAGGGAATTTCTCGTACATAGAATCGCCAACATGTATGGCGAGAGGGGAAATCGAAATTGCTAGCACTGATGCTCCTCGTTTGGCCGACCCTTCATCACCGTGCACCGATATCGCGATGGCTTTCCGTTTGCGTTCGTCACTCCATTCTTGGACTGGGTGCAACCTTTATACTAGCCAAAATAAACAGAGGAATGAGAGTGCGGAAGGGTTCTTTCTATACAAGAATTAAAGTTGAGGCTTAGGGTTATAAGGCTTATAGGATTCAGCGTTCAAGTTGCTACGGTTGGCTGTCACTTTCAACAGAGTGCGTTAAAACAGTTAACCGTGTTGGGTGCATGGACTGAAATAGCCTCCTAGTACAAGCAAAGGTTGCTGCACAGATTACGATATTAAAGTTAAGTTGCTGACCCCACTCCTCGGTTTTCGCCAGCTCCCAAAAGTCCAGCCAATTCATGTCTCCCGCCCTGGGCCACACTGTGTACTTGTATTACCACGCTTAAGATAGGCTGATTATGGTTAGAAGCCAGCAGTTCATTCGAAACTTAATGAGGAGTACTGTACTTGTAGTAATTGATAACAAAAGGTGTAAGGAATGTATTAATACTATTCTAGAAACAAAAACTAGACAGAACAAGTGCAAGGCACATGTTCCTCATTAGCCCACCTTGCACCATGGTCTGCAGGATCAAGTGAGGCATCATAACCGGCAGAGATACCCAGCGTTTTTGGTAAACAGTGGCATTTTTGCTTTTCTTCTTCGGGGCCGCCTTGATCACACTGCCTAGCCGACGCATTCGAAGGGTATGGCTTCTAGCCCTTTGCAAATTCTTTTTGATTTCCATTGTCCGATCGCGTACCAAGACTTCGATTGTTGAAACAGGGCATCGGAACGGAGCCTTAGCCGCGTATGTGTTTGTGTGGATACATTTCCCAGATATACATCTAGATATACATACGCATAAATTCTACGGTTAAATTGAACTGCTGGTAGGATACAGTCATGTAACCTGCACCAATGAAAACTAATCTTTGGCGGCTATACCTAATCTTCGGCAGCTATACCTATACAGGGGCAGAAAATAATGCAATATTGCAAGGCAAGTGTCATCACTGGCACTAGAAGAAACTGCTGTGCTCAGTCTTTCCTCTATGTGTTGTGGAGCTTTGCCGGACGCCCCAAGCGAAGCCGCCCGCCGGGTACCTAGGATATTCTTTACGCACATCCCCTCTCCGTGAGTACATCACCTGGAGCTGTACACGTCAAGGTTTTAAGGTCACACGGCTGAGTTACAAGTCCCTATCTAGCTAGAACATGCAGTCAGGAAACTTGCGCTAACATTGTCATTCCCTGCTTCGGCAATAGCAGCACTTGCCACCTGTTGCAGCATGCCACTGCTGCCACCACGCCCCACATGGTTTGCAAGCAGTCGCGTCAAGGGTGACTTCTTCAAAGACAGGTCAGAGGCTGAAGGTTTCCTTCCTTTTTGCCGTGCATCTTCTGGATTGTTATGGCTACGGATTTTCTCTGCAAGCTGACGCGCACGCTTTAGCATGGCAAGTCACGGCAGAGCTGGGTTAACACAATGGCTACATGTCCAAAGATCAAATTGGCTTCCGGGACTCCGGTTTCAAGATTATGGGTGTGAGTGGCTCTGGGGGATGATGAATACAGGTTTGGTTTATTGCAGGCGTAGTGGTGTAGGTTGTTCAGGGACTTATGGAATAAAAAGATTTAGGGTTTAGGTTATGGGATGTATGGCTTAGCATTAAAGATATTCAAGGAGGTTTTGAAGCTTTTGTATGGGAAGATTAAGTGGGCTACGAAGTTGCTAAGGTATTAACTGTCCTCATAAAACAATTCGCATGTGTTCATAATTGGCCTGTGGGCCCTAAAGCCTCAGCACACAGGATAGCCTCAAGCTACAAGGCCCAAAATGCAATCACTGCAGAGGTCCATCCACAAGAGTCTGGCCGGCAAAGAATGACTTTCTTTTCCGGCAAGATCGGTCGTAACCTCCATCATGGGCTCGCAGACATTGCCATTGGCAGCTCGATTACGCTTTCTTCATGAATAAAGATCTCAATGGCCAGATCATCTATGGCGGGACGAGCGTAAATTTTGGACCTTATTATAAACCTAGTATGAAGCCTCAGCCCTATAAACCTAGAACCAGAAGACTAGCCCCTTCATAACACAGCAGGCCAGCTATGACAAGTGGCATCAAGTTCAATCATTGGTCCATCCTACATTCGTCCTGCCCATGACCGGGCCCCCCAGAAAACTTTAATGTCGCACATATGCATGTTCTCACGCATATTGCACCAGCTGATCCCAGGCACCTACACTCCCTTACAGGGTTTACAGGTTGGGTTAAGGTTGTCGATTGTAGGGCTTCAAGGTGTTGATATAGCGCTGTGCTATCGGAGTGAAGGCTTTTCCCCCAGCCGGTCCATCAAAAGTCAGCGGGCTTGCCAAAACGTGTCGAAGTGTCTCGCGGAGGATACTTTAGTTCTACTCGTCTTCATCACCACACACACGCAAGCAACAGACATTCTGTCACTACCCTACTCCTGATCGGGTACCCCGTTCTTCTTGGGGACAGCCTTCGCTTTCTTGCTCGCCTTCGGGTGCGCACTGCGTTTCTCGATGGAAATCCTCAGGCTATATGTGCAGGGCTGGCTTCATTTTGAGATTATAGGTTCTAAACCTGGCTGTTGGAACTACTTATGCACGAATGTCTCTAAGCAACGGCTTCCACCCAACCCAGGAGTACGTTGCAATTCATAATGTGTGCATGGGAATTATCCTAAATTACTATACGGGGTCCCATATTTGGGTATTCTAACACAGGCCCTTATATAGATATCCACCATTTTGGGAACAGTAATTCAGGACAAGGCCCACCTATGATGAACATGCTCACTATTCAATTCCTTCTGGTTTTTACTTCGGCGCTCTGGCTTTTTAGGCCCAAAACATGATCATTTGGTCAGGCTTTAAATCTACTTTTCGGCGCTCGGGATGTTTACATCCTGCATATACATGAATGAAATTTCTGAATCCCGGAATTAGATTATGTCCTAGGACAAACCGTACGCCCTGAGTTATAAGAAAACATGGCCTAGTTACTCGACGACATCAACCGCAAATCTGTTTAATTACTGGGAGAAATGATGCAGTACACCTATTCGTTCATAGTTCATAGCAACGCAATCGTACCTGTCATACTTAGAATATACTGTACTCGACCAAGGTTCTGCAAGGATCGAACAAAGTTCACATAAGGTAAGGATTTTCAAATGTGAAAAGCCCTAAAGGTAAACCCTCAACCCCTATAATACCTAACCCGTATAAACGCCAAACACCAAACTTCTACATATCATCATCACCTTAATTAAGCCATCAACTCCGAGCCCTAGACCCTAAAGCTCGCACATGGTAATTTTTCGAACCTCGTAAATCTCAAACGTGAGAGCCTGAACCTTAGCATGTGGAAACTTGGAAATGCAATAGCATTATATATAACCCTTTCCCTCTAATTAATGATGTTCCGAAGCAAGCAGCAAGTTGTTCGCCACTCGAATATGTTTTTTGAATGCAGCCACGAACGGAGTTGCCTCGGATAGAAAAAAACATGAAGTGTTCACGCTTCATTTTAAATTCCGTGACTAGCTGCTGTCATCAGAATCATATGCACATCGGTGGCGACAGGCGCATTGCCCAAGGCATTCATTTGCTTGCGGGCCCTGGTAATTCCCATGCAAGCATCGGTGATCAGCGCAATGAGTTCCGTTTGGGATTCAAGCGCTTCCAGCCTCACATAGGAATTGCAACTCCGCATGAGCAAGCTCAATCAGGAACATGTCTTGATCTAGCTGCAGGTTGTACTTGTCATAAAAAATGCTGCTAAGACACTCTGCGCAGATCCGCACTGACTGGCCACCCGCCGCGTTAGCAGCTTGAACCCACTCTTTCACAAAGTCGGTGGTGCTCTCTCCAGACATCACCACTTCCAGGTCAGATCCCTGCAAATAGTGGATACATGAATCGTTCGATCCCTGCAAATAGTGAATACATGAATCGTTCTGGCAAAGTAGATCTGAAGATAATAGTGTTAAGAGCTTTGGAAAGTGTAGGAGAGCAATGTAAAGAAAATAGGAACATGTCCCCACCTCCGGCTTGGGTGCACGGGCCTTCTTGTTAGGGCGTTCCTCCTCAGGTTTGGGTTTGCCAGGGGCCTTGGCGGGGGTGGCTGGCTTGTTGTCAGCTTTGTCCGGGGACGAAGCACTTGCAGCAGCCTCCGGTGAGCTGCCATTCTCTGCTGGAGCAAGGGCACCCAAAGTCCCGGACTCTAGCTGCTGAGCGAGGGTTGTGGCAAACTCGGCATTCACCCCCAGCTCAATAGCTATCTCGTCCTTGATATGGGTTTTGGGATCAGAGAGGATTACGGTGCTTATATCTAGAACAGACCGTTCATTGATTCTGTTGCTGGTCAAGATTCCACTGACCTCACCACCGTAGAATGTCGTTGCCGTCCATAATACAGAAACGTCTCCACTCGGGGATCGTTCCGATCCTTGCTGGTCCTCCAGGGTGATTAATATGTAGGGGGTTGCTTCATTTACTAAGTAGGTCCCTTAAGGAGTGCAGGTGAATCCTGTGCTTAATATAGGGGTTGCTTCATTTACTACCCCGGTCCCCTTGGCTTGCCCCCTGCGCCGAGCGCAGAACTCGAGGGCTGCGTCGCGGTTGTTTCCATGGAAGGATAGGATGTCAGTCCAGCAGTAATACTCCCCTGGCTGATGTGTCTGGCTTACAGGTTGCTCGATCTAGTTGATTTCATAGTAGAGGTGTGTAGTTGCACTGTGGTTCAGCAGTCTGGAGGGCTCTTTTCGTGGGAAGATAATCGTAATGTCAAATAATGTGTAACCCTTATTATGATACTACACCCATTATCGACTGGTACAAAATGCATGGGGAAATGACAAAACCCCAAAGGCTTCAAAGTACCTGCTATATTCCGCGCAGGCACGATGCCACCAAAAACATGAGTAAGCCAGAATCCCTTATGGAATCAATTATGGAGACCCCGTTCGCGGAAACCTGAGCCACCCAAGTCTACTCCTGACAGCCCCGGCTAGCACCTCTATCTAATGACACGAGCCTCGGAACAGCCTTCTACAATGTGTTTACAGAAACGGAAATCCTGAACACTTAAATCAGAGGCCTTTATAAGTCCCACTATAGCCACTGGCTTGACCCTGCGAGTATTGGAAATTGTTTGGCAAAATTGTGTACATGGTCTTCATCGTATGTATGCAAAAGACCACACATTTACATCGAAGTGAACAAACAGCTAAGCCTCCTAAACCCTGGCTGTCTATGCGGCGCCGGGCGCCTGCATCTTCATCGGTCTCCTCGCGCTGCTTCTTGTAGCGCAATGCGCATTCGAGCGCAAGGCCATCACCTAAAGGGCAGGATTCCGGGAATTCAGGGGGTTCATGGTTATAGCGTACATATTCAGGGAAACCATCTTGTACAATAGTGTGATAAGGGACCCACTTCGCCAGACTCCAACTCCCAAGAAAATCCTGTATGCATAAGCTACAAGGAAAAGGCCCGACTAAGTATTAGAAGCTTCCACACGCCCTAGTTGATTTCGTGGGCTCACGCGTGGGATGGCAGGCGCTTATGGGGCCAACGGATCTGCCCAAAAACGAATAGAATTCCTGGATCAAATGTGTGGCCGTTTAGGTGGAATAAAGGGTTTGGGTCCCGCAGGCATATTATATTACACAGGGTAGGGGATTATACGCAGATATAGGGGCTTATATATTAAAGATTATAACCGGCATGGATATGTGGTTGATATCGCCCTATATATATACCCTACTTAACCCGAAACCGCGACCTTAAGCCCTAAATCCATACATGAGCCAGGCACGTAATTCTGAGAGCCGCCTTTCATTATTATATGAGACTTCCTGGAGTGTTCTATAAAGGGTTTGGCAGCTTGAGGGATATGGGATTAGATCTTTGTGGGTTATACAAGGTTACAAGGGTTACAGGGGGCAAGGATCAAGAGAACATATAGGGCTCTAGTAAAGGGATTGCCATCGCAGCGTTTGTAAATTGAGATTCCGTAGCCTCGGGTGGCTGTGGTCCAACAAACCGTCCCTAAAACTGAAACCTTAAGCCTTATGCGAACATAATGCCCCTGGACGTGGGGCCCCTGAATCCTAAATCCTAAACCTTTAATCCTCAATCTCAAATCCTAAACCCTAAATCCTAAATCCTACACCTTAAATCCTAAATCCTAAACCCTAAATTCTAAACCATAAATCCTAACTCCTCATCTCCAGGTCCTGAGGTTCTTGTGTCGTGGGTGGCAGTAGGCTATAACCCTTTAGGGTTTATAGGGTTGCGCGCACTCCATTATCCGAAGCATGGGTCTTGCAATGACACCTTGAAGTGGGCTAAGTGTTCCCAATATAAACCCAAATCCTTCCTTCAAATGACACCTTGAAGTGGGCTAAGTGTTCCCAATATAAACCCAAATCCTTCCTTTAAGAAACCTATATACCAACACTAGAAACCAAGTGGCAGTTGGCCGCGACATACTTGGCAAAAGCGTTGAGCTTTGTCTTGCCTCCTGCAGCCCATGCATTGCGCAGCTCCTTTGCATTGGGATTGCTTTCGCAGACCGCTCGAAGGACTTGTACTCCTTCGGATGGCTTGCGCTATTGAAGCGTGCCGGAGGCAAGGATGCCGGGCCAGTCACCATCGGCCTTCCCGTAGAGCCAGATCCTGGTGGAGACATGGCTTCCTCACCTGGCTGCACCAACATTGCAGGCATGGCTGGTTGCTCAGGAAACTTTGATGCAAGCGGAGGATTTTGCTGCAATGGTCCTGCAGAAATGGATTCCTCAGACGGCGGCACTGCAGCCATGGCTGGCTGCTGAGGAGGCGCAGCGGCGCTGCTTGGAATTGGCGAGGTGACAGCCTTGGCCTGCTGGCCAATGAGCAAGCCAAGATTGTTCAACAAAGCCTGGGCCTGCTGTGACTGATCTGGCTGCTGCTGCAGCTGCGAGAGCAAGGTTGCTATTAGGGTGGCGGTGGCATCGCTCATGCCAACCCCACTGTCGTCTGGCGCCTCCGTCTTCACAGTCTTGGTTGGAGCAGGCGGAGCTGCCACCACTGCAGGTGGTGGCAGAACAGGTGGCCCCTTGGCAAGCACACTCTGCTCGTGGCCCTCTGAAACCTGCGCCTTAGGGGCCGCGGAAGGGCAAGCAGGCAAGTTCTGGGCAGCAGCAGGGAAGAACCTAGTGTGCGGGGTAGGCACGAGGCACGGAGCCGGTGCAGCTGCGACAGGCACAGGAGTAGGACCTTGCGAGCTTGCTTCACGCGCAACCGCCGCAAACAGAGGCACGTTGGGCCAATGTGCGAGGCTGCCTTCGCAGCAGTTAGTGGTGCGGCCGCCTGGCCAGCGGCCTGGGCTGGCCCATGAGGCTGGCCGGCTTCAGGCAATGAAGCAGGCAGGCCTTGTGGCGCAGCAGGCACAGCAAGTGCAGTTCTGTGCTTGCCGAGCTCGGCAACCCGAGCGACAGGGTAGCAAGAGGCTGGACAAGCGCTGTGGGAGGAGCTTTGGGCATGCTGCTTGGCAAGGCCGGTGCAAGTGTAGGCAAAGCAGGAGCTTGGACCAGTTGGCTGGACAGAACCCGAAATTGGCACACTCACAAGCACAGACTGCTGGGCAGCAAGAAAAGCCTGGGGAGTAGGCAGTGGTAAACTGCCTGCAACAGGAGCCGGTGCTGTCTGAGCAACACCTTGCAGGTGCGAAGGCGGCACCACGGGCAACGTCAAACATGCAAGCTGTGCAGCAGCCATGGCCGCAGGCTGAACTGTAGAAGGCACTTGCTGCTGGGGAGCAGGTGCACACAGAGGGCCGGGAAGCTTAGGCTCTTGCCGTGTTGAGGGCGGGAGCACTTCAACAGACGCAGCAAGCACTGGAACAGGAGTTGTTGCTACCTTAACCAGCTGCACAGGGGGTACAAGGCTGCGAGCTACAGGAGCTTGCGTTGTCACAGCCGGCTGCACAGGCTGCGCCAGCAAGGGCACGTACGGTACAGGCTGTGTGGTTGCGGAAGCAGGTGTTGCAAACGGAGCAGTAGGAGACACCTTGGGCGCTGGTAGGCTAGCAGCTACGGGCGCGGGTGCTGTCTGCAAAGCACTTTGCGTAACAGTGGCCGGCTGCTGAGAGGGTGCAAGCGGAACAGGCAAGGGCCCCAACGGTGCAGGCTGTGTGGTTGTAGAGGCAGGCGTGCCAGACAGGCCCTGGAGAACAGGTGCAGTTGACGGAAGCGGAAGTGCTTGTGGAACCTGGCAGCGCGCCAGGAGACACGGTGTGTGGTGCTAGGCTAGCAGCTACGGTAGCTTCTGCTGCCTCAGGAGCAGCTTGGGTAAGAGTTGCCGGCTGCGTGCCAAACAGACCCTGAAAAACAGGTGCAGTTGACGGAAGCGGAAGTGCTTCTTGCTTTGCAGTTGCGGAACCTGGCAGCGCGCCAGGAGACACAGTGGGTGGTGCTAGGCTAGCAGCTACGGTAGCTTCTGCCTCAGGAGCAACTTGGGTAAGAGTAGCCGGCTGCAGAGAGGGTGCAAGCGGAACAGGCGAGGGCCCCAACAGTGCAGGCTGTGTGGCTGCAGAGGCAGGCGTGCCAAACAGGCCCTGGAGAACAGGTGCAGTTGAAGGAAGCGGAAGTCCCGCTGCGGAACCTGGCAGTGCGCCAGGAGACACGGTGGGTGGTGCTAGGTTAGCAGCTACGGTAGTTGCTGCTGCTGTTGCTTCAAGAACACCTTGCGTAACAGTAGCCGGCTGCACAGGGTGTGCAACCGGAACAGTCGAGGAGGTGGGCACTGCTAGGTTAGGAGCAACCAGAGCTGGTACCGTCTGAGCACCAACTTGTGTAACAGTGGCCGGCTGCACAAGCGGAACGGTCAACGGCACGAAAGGCAGAGGCTGCGTGGCTGTAGGAGAACCTGTTGCAACCTCTAGCTTACCTATGAACTGCTCTGTCAGTGCTTCCAAGGAGCAGGGGCTCTGCAGTTCGCTCTTAATTTCATCCTTCTCACCCACACAAAACTCACCAAGACTCTGCGAACTACTTGAGCGAAACCTTCCCCAAAAGCTCTTGTACCTCGTCTTCTCGTCTTCAGACAACTCGGGAAGCTTAAAGTCATCCTCCCGGGTCTCCTGCAAAATATTGTTTCAAAATGTGCTTTCTTCTAAATCGTGACAAAAAAGGTAAACGATCCCCTACTCGATCCTCCACACATGGAAACCACTATACATGATGCCCTGATACTCAGTACTTTTAGTATGGTTTAGATTCTATGCATAGGGTTTAAGGGGATTAGA